GGTGACGGGATCGGTGAAAGACTCCATGGTGATTCAGGGAAGATTGCGCGCGAACAATTGACGACCTGAACGATCTTGCTTGACGAAGCAAGAAGACATAAACGTAAATTGTCGGAGGCCCGCGCGGATGTTTGCGTCGGCGCTGGACCCCCTTGGCGGCGCCTCGGGCGCCGCCCCTGGCGCGCTCCGCGCGCCAGGGAGGGGGCCCAGCGCCGATCCAAAAAATCTGCGCGGGCCTCCGAACATTTACGATCAAGCGTTTTTCTTTCTCCTCGGCTTGCTAGAGCCAAAACGGCTGCGGAACGGAAAGGGGATGCAAGGAGGGGGGGAGGGAGGGAGGTGCTGGAGGATCGAAGTGGGGCAACGAATGCGCCCTTCCGAAGCGCGGAGACGAATGCTTGCACCCCTGCGACGTGTTTCCCGCCTCGAGTACTACCTGGCTGCGCCCCCTGTCTTCGCGGGTCAAGCTCTGGCGGGTCTCCTCGGGGGGGTCCGCGGACAAACCCGCCGGGCCGGCAAGGGGCAGGGGGGCGGCGGGGGGCAGAGGAGGAAGAAAAGGAGAGGCATGAATCGGGGAGCGAGGAGGGGGGCCAAGTGGAGGCGGACAAGGAAGGATGGCGAGCAAGACGACAAAGGATAGGGGAGGGGAGGAAGAGCGATGATGATGATGATTTTATGGTCGGCTCAACGCAAGAAAATCAAAATTGCCCTCGCTCGGCCGCGACTGAGACCCATCGCAGCGCGCGCGCTGCGCACCGACCGAAAGAAGGGCGCGTGGCCCACGCGACAAAAGGCGGCGGGCCCGTCGCAAACAACCGCCGCCGGGAGGCAGGAGAAAGGGCAACCGCGCACCTGCTCATATCTGTACAAAACGGGCAACGACAACAAACTCAAAAAAGCATGAACATTTTAACGCGAAAACGACTGAAAACGAATCCTCAGCGTGACTGCCGGCGCCTCCGTAGCGAGCAACTCTCGAGATCTTCTCAATCGGCGCGTCGTCTGGTGATGCCGGGCTCCCCGAAGATCAACTATGCGATTCGTTTTGCGCGGGGTGAGCGTCCGCTGCCCTTTGGCCAGGCAGCTTTCCAATCTCGCTGTGTTACTGTTCAGGATATCCGTGGCTTTGCCCGCTGAAGGCCCCGCTGCAGTAGCTGAGCTTTTACCCGCGTCGCCCGCGAACGCGCCCCGCTCCGCGTCGAAGGGGGGGGGGGTCTGGATGGCGAGGGTTTATAGTCAAAAAAAACATGCGTGCTCTCCGTGTTTTCGCCGCCCCCCCCCTCCTCCGCTCCTCCGCCTACTTGTTATTCATGTATATATATATATATGTGTGATTGTATGCGTAAAAAATCTCTCGGGGCTGTGGGCTGCCCCATCTGCGATCCTGACGTCGATCGCATATCGAGCGGGCCGTCTGGCGTCTCTATGGGCGCCGTCTGCCGGTGCGCCGTGGCGACGGCGACGGGCGCGCCCTCGGGGCACGCATGCCCTCGGGGCATGCGTGCTCTTCTGCCTGGACTTCGAAGCGATGCTTCTCTGCGGCTGCACGTGAGTTGGCGCGGTCATAGTTGCTCGCGGTGAGGCTTTTCTTGTTGCGCTCAGCCCTCCATTTATTGCGCGCGATGATGGTGATGATGCTCTCTCTCTCTCTCTCTCTCTCTCTCTCTCTTTTTTTTTCTCTCTCTCTCTCTCTCTCTCTCTCTCTCTCTCTCTCTCTCTCTCTCTCTCTCTCTCTCTCTCTCTCTCTCTCTCTCTCTCTTCTCTCTCTCTCTCTCTCTCTCTCTCTCTCTCTCTCTCTCTCTCTCTCTCTCTCTCTCTCTTTCTCTTTCTCTTTCTCTTTCTCTCTCTCTCTCTCTCTGCTGCGACGCGCCGCGCCGCTCTGGGCCCGCGATGGAATCCAAGCGCCTGCGGGGCCAGGAAGGGGCCCCGAGTGCCAATCCATGGAAAATCGCCGTAACAATGAACGATGCGCATGCCACCTTTGTCGCTCTTGCCGCTCGCTGCCGCTCGCGAAGCTCATGGGCCTGCGACTGTCGAGGGGGTGGCCTGGCACCTGCGAATGCGCGCGAGATGGTCCTGCAATGCTTTCTCGAACCCGTGCGTCGCTTCATTCGCCGCCGCGGTCCCAGCCGCTGCCCCCCCCCTTTCTTTTGAACTGCCGCGCGTCTCCCGCCGGCGGCGCCGCGGCCGGCCGCGCGGCGCCATCTGGCCCGCTAGCCCCGAGCCCCTTTCTCTCCCCTTGTCCACCCTATCCCCCCCGCCAGCCCCCTGCCCATCCTGTGCGCGCACCGCGTCGCGCGCTTTCCATCTCCTCCTCCTCCTCCGTGAATAACTGCCCGAATTTCCGCCCCAATTCCTCCGTTTGTCCCATCGTCTTTCGTTCAACTATCTCGCTCGTCTTGTTCTTCGGGGACTCGAGGTTGACGGTTGGCTGCAGGATTGGCCGGGCTGCCTCTGCGAATAGGCCCCAGCTGGGGCAAGCGCGTTTCTCTGCCGCCCCGCAGCAATATCGTAGAATCGCACGTCGGTCTTTCTGGGCAAGACGGAGGAGATCCGCGTCGAGGTGAGCGAGCTCGAAATCCTCGCAATCAAACCTATGCTGCTGCTAATCCTCCGCCCTCTGCCGCCCCGCCCAACTCCTCTCCTGGGTTTCTGAATTGAAATTGGTCCTCGGGCTGAAATATGACCGGCGCTCGGGGCTCCTGCGTAGCTCCGCATAAGCGTTCCAGATTTGTCCTGCTAGATCTGCGTTCTCGCCGACAAGGTAATGCTTTCGGGCATGTTCTTATGCTGGCTGTGATCTCCTTCAAATCCTCGCAGGCGCTCGGGAACTCATCCCCCCTTTTTCTCCGCCGTCCGCCCCCTCATCCCCCCCCCCCCCGCCCGGCGCGCGCGCTCGCTCGCGCGCGTCCCAAGATGTTCTGCTCAATGCGTTCGGAAAGCTCTTTTCTCTTGCGGCGTCTTGTCTGGCATCTCATGGGGGCGCTTCGGGCAGGTCGTGGCCCCCGCTGTCTTCTGGCCCCGTGGTGGCAGAGGCTGGTGTCCAGGTCGACGCCCGCGGGCGCGTGGCCCCTATGTCCGCGGGCTTTGATGCTTTGTAGCTCCTTCCCCGCAGTAGTGAGTGATGCGCGGGCCCGTAGTTGCAGTCGAGCATTCACTGGGGGTGTTATGTGAAGGGTTCGGCCCTGGCCTCCGGTCGGCCCGAAGTATGTGTCGGTTACTCTACTACTCGCTGATGCGATGAAGAGCTGGCTACGCTCGCACAACTTTCTGAACTCAAGGCCATCCTGATTTCCTAATTGGGGCGATGTCCACCAAGGCTGATGCGCTAACTCGTTTGGACGCTGCCGTCTCTATCTCGAAACAGACCAAAATCAAAGTTGATGTCGCCTCCTGCAATAATGTTGGTCCTAATGCCCAGCTTGTCAATCTGGTCGTCCAGCCACTTCGTGATTTTGCGGGCTATCCCTCCGTGTCTCTGCGCCGAGGCCGGCGCGAAGTAGACCCCGACAATCTTAATGTATGTTGTTTGCAACCGGATGCCCCTACTAACCCTTGGAGCTCTGAATGGGAGTCTCGTTGCCGCGTGGAGGGGCTGTGTGGGGAGGTTTCTTTTGACGAGAGAACTGCCCCCGCGTGCCGCGCTGGTGGGCCTTTTCTTGCATCCCAACTGGGTGCCCCAGTGGTGTCCGAAATGGTGTTGTTGGGCGGATTGTTCATCGAGAGCACGGTCACTGGTGCCAGACAAGATAGTTACGTTCTGGTCTTTCAGCCCTGTGCTGAGATGTGTATGATCCTATCGTGGTACGGGGCGCGCATTGGGATTATACGTGACGACGCGAATGATGATGTAGATGCTGCTCGCCACGCCGTGCGCGCGCGCCGCCCATGCCGCCCCTCTCCTCCCCGCGGTCCTCCGCCCTGCTGCGGCCCCGCGTCTGGACGCGGTGCACGTCGGGCTCGCCCCGCGCGCCGAAGCCCATCCCCGCGCTGGGAAACGGCGGCCAAAAGGGAGGAGGGGGAGGAGGAGTGGTCCTTCGCGCGATTTTTAATTTGAGCCCTCACAAGCTCTATTCGCTTTCAAGTGGATATAGTTTTTCAATGACAATGACAGGTTGCCTTGCCTTTCGAACCACGGACCCTGTACGGTCCTCCTATTAAAAAACAAAACAACGCTGTGAGGGCTTCCGAACAACAGGCAATCAATGCTTTCCGGGACTTCAATCTGCCTGGGTGGATCTGGTCTGGAGGGGCCCAGAAGAAGTCCGAAGTCCCGAAAACCATTGACTGTTTTCTTTTGATCCATCATGTTTTGGGAACCCTCACAGGGCTCGTGGGCCCAAGACGTTATCTTCTTGTTTGTGATGGAACGAAAGTATCATTGTCTTTGTTTGCATGTATTTCTTATCGTTCTGAATTATATGGTTTTCTTACCCTTTTTGCTGGCATTGATTTCGAACTGTTTTTGGTTGTGTGGATTTCTGCTTGTTTTTGAATGTCTGAATTTCTGATTGTTTTCGATTGTGCGGGTTTCTGATTGTTTTGATTGTTTGGTTTCCGTACCGTTCTGTTATATATATATATATATGAATACACATATATACACATTTATGTATGTAGGATAATGATGCTGCTGCTGCTGATGATGATGATGATGATGGTGGTGATGATGATGATGATGATGATGATGATGATGAAAAACACCCCACGCCACATAGTCTTAAATCTTACCCTTACAAGGGGGGAGGGGAGATGGAGGCGGGATGAAAAGGGGGGGAGAGAGCGGGGGGAGAAGGGGGCACAACCCTCCCGATGAACGTCCCCCGTGTCGTTCGTGGCGGGCGGACCTCCAGCTGATACGCCTGGCCCTGGCAGACACCAGACCTAAGATGGGTCTGGTGCCAGGGCCGCGGATGGGGGCGGAGGAGGAGGAGGGGTAGGCGAAGGAGCAGGAGGGCGAGGAGGAAAGGAGGAGACAAAGCGGGAGCAAGCGTTGACACCTTGAAGTGCAGCATCCTGTTCACCGACCAATCAATCTCCGACTCCAGGCTGATCTTCTTGACCTGACCGTCCTGGGTGCTGTTCTTCTGGAGGACCCATACACTGCCACCTGGGCGACGATCAAAACGCGGGTCTTACGCGAGATGGCACAGCGACCTTGCGCGGTAGCTTGCGCGGGCCGCAGGCGCGTCACGCTACGCTGGAAGCAAAAGCGGTTACGCGCGACTTTACGCGGGCAACTTGCGTGCCAATGTCGGCACATTCGACCACGTTTTTTTGCTTAGCGGCGCGCGCAATGGGGGTTAGGGAGAGGGGGGAGGCTCACCAAACGGAGGCTGCTTCTTCGAAGGCGCCGGTCTTCCATCTATAGATATAGAAAAAGCCCGCGCCTTCTATGAAGCAGGGGTGCCTCCAAGAAGCCCTCCCCCCTCCCCCTACCCCCCTCTGCGCGTTGCCGGGAAGCGCGAAGCGCAAATAGCTTGGCGCCCTCGAGGATGAAGAGGAGGAGGAGGAGGAGGAAGAGGAGGAGGAGGGAGAGGATGAGGAGGTCGAAGAGGAGGAGGAAGAGGAGCACGAGGAGGAGTCGGAACCCACCTGGCATGGTGACCAGGTCGTCCAGGTTGGCATCCTTTCCGGCGGCGCGCGCGCGCAGGGGTGCGGGGCGAGATGGGCCGGCCCTCGCAGAGAGCACGCGGCTCCTCGGAAGCGAGCGGCCTCGGCTGCAGAGGCTTCCACCTTGGCCCCCAAAAGGCCCCCAAGAAGCCCAAGAGAGGCCCCCGAGAGTCCCCAAAACGGCCCCCAAGAGGCCCCCTAAACTGCCCCTAAGAGGCAACCCCCGAGAGGCCTCCCACGAGCTCCCAACGAACATCCAATAGGCTTTATACCCACAACCCAAGCACGATGGCGGGATGGGCCAGCAGCCATAATATAGAGGCTTCCCCCGAGACAGGAGGGATTTTCAGAGTCGGGGTGCGTTCTCAGAAGGCCGCCACCCCTTTTGCGCCGCCCTCCTCCAAGCCCCGCGGGTCCTTGATGGCCTCTATCCGCACGATCACCGTGGTGGATACCGCCGAATCCGACTCCTCGATCGGCCACAGCACCCGCGCCTGCCGCAACACCTCGGCCATCACTCTCATCGCGCTAGCTGGGCAGGTGGTGCAGTGCTTCTGCATCAAGGCGGGGCCGTAGTAGACGAGGAAGGCGGGCCCCGCCTTGCGTGGTACGGAGTGACGAGCAAGCGCAGTCTGCTCCTTCCTCCCTCCCCTCTCTCAGGAAGGCCTCGCCTGGGGTGGGGCGAAATTCACAACGCGCCCAATATGATCCTGCCTCTCTCCTTCTTCCCTCTTTCCCCCTCCTCCTTCTCCTCCTGCTCCTCCTCATCTTTCTCCTCCTCTTCTTCATCATTATCATCATCATCATCAGCATCAGCATCATCAGCATCAGCATCAGCATCAACATCATCACCACCATCATCATCATCGCCCCGCGGGCAACGCTCGTTGCCGCCATCGCTGGGGCCAGGAGCGCCGCCCGCCCGAGGCGCGACGGGAGCGCCGCGAGGTTCCCGCAGGCAGCGGCGCCGGCGCGGCAGGAGGCGCCCGAGGCGGCCCCTGCGGCGGGGCTGAAGACGAAGGCCGACCGTGCGGGGGCGGTGGGGCAGCCGGCGAGCGACGCCAAGGCGGGGTGGGCGAGGTTGCCAGCGCAGCGGGCGCCGCTGGCACCGCGGGCACCAGGAAGGCAGCCGGCGGGGCAACACCCCAGGCGACTGAATGCTGCAACGAGGGTTTCTTCCCACATGGGCGGGAGACCCCCTTCGGGGAGCAGCGTGAAGGCGACTGCATCCGCCAGTGCAAGGGGGCGGCCCATCCCCTGGACCAGCGTGGCGGCAGCAAGGTCTGCGGTGGCAGCCGGGCCCAGCACGGCGGACAGTAATATTCCGTGGATGTGTGCAACATCCGACGAAGGCAGGGGTCCCGTACGCCCAAGGTCGGGGTGTTCCTGCCACGTGGCACGAGTGCCTGCGGGGAGCAGGCCAGCCGAGGTAAGCAAGGCAGGCGAGAGCACCCAGGAGTGCGCGGCCGAAGCCCGTCGCGCAAGGGCAGCCGCAGGCCTCCCGGCACAGGGGCGTGGAGCTCTATAGGGCGCCACGGTGCGGTCGGTCTGGGGGGTCCCTGCCCTTCCCGGGGTTGCTGGGCACCGCGGGGGGCACCGCGGGGGGCACCGCCGCTGGCGCTGACGGGGAGACTGGAGAGCCAACGCGGGAACTGGCGCTCTAGGGAGACGAGGGAGAGGACGAGCTCGAGGACGAACCCGTGCAAAGCTGGGCCTGCGCCCGTGTCACAATCTCACTGGCGCCAGAGAGCAGCGGCAATCGTCCCGCAGTAGAGCACGGCGGTGGCGGGGGTGGCACTGGGGCGCGCGCACTGCCGCAGGCGTTGGTGGGTCCGCGCTAGCGGCGGGGGGCGGGAAAGCCCCTGCGCCTCCCACGCTCGCACTCAGCGCGTCCATGCTGGCAGCGCTCCTCCTCCTCCTCCTCCTCCTCCTCCTC